TACGGTGGCCCAGAAGGCTCAACGCAAACAAAAAATATACTGCAGCAAATAAAAAATATACTGCAGCAAATAAAAATATACTGCAGCAAATAAAAAAAATCAAAACGCAAAGAAAAAAAGTACCGCAGCAAATAAAAAAATGCAACGCAAACAAAAAATACTGCAGCAAATAAAATATGCAACGCAAACAAAAAAAAAGAAAACGCAAACAAAAAAAATTGGAACGCAACGCCAAGGAAGACTGGGTAATAGTTCTTAGTTTCCCGCCAAAACAGCATGAACTGGAACTCGTTTTTGGTTATGGACGAAAGCGATCTGCGTAGGATTATAGAAGATTACTTTCATCAAGGGTATGAAAATAAAGTTATTATCGAATTTTTAAAGGAGCAGCATGGTACTGTCATAAGTTCGCTGCAATACATGGTTTCGGAAAGGCGAGCAAGCAAAGGATGGAACGAGTGTTCATGGGAAACTAAGAACTATTACCCAGTCTTCCTTGGCGTTGCGTTCCAATTTTTGTTTGCGTTTTCTTTTTTTTTTTTTTGGTTGCGTTGCATATTTTATTTGTTGCGGTATTTTTTGTTGGCGTTGCATTTTTTATTTGCTGCGGTACTTTTTTTCTTTGCGTTTTGATTTTCTTATTTGCTGCAGTATATTTTTTAGTAGCTGCAGTATATTTTTTATTTGCTGCAGTATACATTTTGTTTGCGTTGAGCCTTCTGGGCCACCGTAGGTGGTTGCATCCGAATGCAATAAAATGTGTAACCATTGCTATCAGTTGCCTTTTGAAAGCTTCAGATTGTCGATAATAGTAAAACAATTGCGGAAAATCCGAGTTGTTTTGAAATATACAGTGATACCTTTGAGAATTTACATAGCCTTTGGCCCAAGTGCCTCGATTCCGTGCATCTTTAAGCAAAACCGCTTTTTCGCGGGCTCATCTAATATCTGCCATTGTTCTCGCCTGGGGCATCTCCATGTTTCCGACACTACCTCCTGCATCATTATACAACCTTTAGCTTTTAATGTATTAAAATTTGTGCAGTCCAACAATTGCCAATTTCTTTTTAAACCGAAAGACGTCAATCCAGAACAGTGTTATTGAACGCACAACTTGAAAAGTTCGATTAGAAAAGGAGCTACAGCTCGTCCTCATAGTAGGTCAACAGCAGTCGCCATGATTGTGGGTTTGTTTTGTGTTTCGTTTTTATACATTATACAGATAAGTCTTTGCTTATTTCAGCTGATGGGTTTACTCCTTGCCAGTGCTACGCCTCTATACATTTGAGTATTCAAAGATGTTCGTCTCTTACTAACGCGTTTAAACGACAAGGATCGATTCCTTGTTAAACCTCACTTTTGTACACTCTTGTGTCTAAGAATATAATTTCTGAGTCTGATATTTCAGCCGTAAGCGGTGATTGTATCGTGGTACGATGTACATGATATAGCTGTTTTCCCGTCTCACAAATTCTTCTTTTGTGTCTTTCGTTGTGTTCCACAGACAGAAAACGTCGTTAAAATACCTCTTCCAAAGTTGCAATTTAGTTTTGCTCGGGGTGATAATACCCTTTTTATATTATTACCATGAAAATATTGGCGAAAGCTGTTGCCGTTGCGGTATTCTTTGCCGTTTCCGTTCGGATTGTAAAAAAAAATTATCGAGTTCCCGAACAATAACGATAACAATAGCGCGCAAAGCACACTGGTTGAACGCGGCCCTTTAATTGAAATTGAAAGGACTGTTTTCTTCTTTGAATACTAACAACAACATTGAAATTATCTGCATTTGATGACGTAAATCCTATTTCTGGTTACCGTCGTGAGAATCGTGTCGCTCTAAACGAACTAAACCTTTCAGAATATGAATTTTCTCCAAGGCTAACAGACTTGAGATAACCTCAGTTTCTTGTTTCTTGGCCTATCGTATTTATATAAAGTAAACCTTCAACTATCTATTTATTTCACTCAAATCGTTAATAACGAAAAGGGGATTTCCCCGAGTTTACTTTCAATAAAATATTCAAACAGTTGGAATATGGCGGGTATTACCGATTCTATGGTTGAAGCCAACATTTGCGATGGCAGTGTAGCAGAGCCACCCGAGCATTTCCGTTCACTCAGAAAAGATGGTATAATGTTTTGGGCTATATTCTGCGTTTGTAAACTCGTTTTTTTTTTCTTTTACAGTTTTATATGCTTGTTACCTGGGTACATATTCTATACAGAAACACCTGCTTCAAGTTGTTTTCATTCGATGTGCAAATGTCTCGTTTAGGTTTAGAAAGCGAAAAAAGTGGCTGGCATCTTTTTAGTCTTTAGTTTTCGTTGCATCTGGGTCGTAATTTAGAGGGTCTCAGAAAATGTTTCTACTCGATCAATCATTGAAAACTTTTCTTCAATATATATATGTATAAAAAACTCATGGCCTTCACTCGATATGCATTTTAAGGAAATTTTTAATATTTTACGTTCAGACTGAAGTAGGTGATACATCAAAATTGGCAAACTAGGGAATATTCTGAAAATTAGTATGCACTGGATAAAAATTTTAAAATTTTGTGAAACAATATCCACGATTTCAAAAGCAATTTACTTTCACTGACATTATCGTTGCAATAAGATGACGTTCTTTTGTGTCAATTCAGGTTTTTAAATTGCAATTTTAGATTTGCCCAGTTTAGCCTGCAGATAAGTATATTTCATTTGAAACCTAATTCTCTGATGCACCATGCCATGGACAGGCCATCAGCTGCATTAATACAAATTTAAGTCTTTCTAGACCACACTATACTGACATGTTTCTGATAATTTGAAACCTTAAACCTAACCCTAACCTAATCGACACGTAATCGGTTGGTTTATTGATTTTAGTAAGACTTTAAAAGCGCGCATACAATAAAAATTGTTAGGAAAACCGAATAACGAGGCGTCAAATACACTCACGTAAAACATTTGTTGGGTCGCAGGGCAACAAGATATCTACATAAGAATTCACAAGCGTACTAGCATACCCAGGTAATGCCGAAACATCTGTAGTGTAGCAGTACCCTCCTCTCCAAAGGGAAACAAAAGGGAGAGAATTCTCCTTGGAGGGGCAGGGTACGGCTACACGTAGCCTTATGCCGAACAATCGATATCTCATTTTGCGTGATGATTATTTGCCTGTTTTCACTGTCACACCATCATCCCTGACTATACAACAAATAATGTCACGAATCAGAGAGATAAAAGAAGATTAATATTCAGGTCTTTGCGAAGTTGTGCGGAGGATCTTCGAAATTATTAGTGAAGCTAACAAACCGTGACTTTCTTTTTGTTCTAGAACTGAAATAAAATTTACCAAAAAAACAAAGAAAGGATAAATTCACTATCTATTAAATATGCAAATATTTTCATTCAATCAATGAATTTGAATATATGAAAATCATATATCTGTGTTGCGGTTTCATGAAATGTCTTAAAGCGATCCTCGCAGTACTATTTAGGAGGTAGTGGAAATAAGGCCAGAAAAAAATTCAGTCCTGTACGGGATTTGAACCCATGACCTCTGCGATACCCACTAAATAAGGAGGGTTTATTACTGTGAGGATCGCTTTCATACATTTTCATTTAAGTGTGCCAAAGACTGAAATTATATAATTGTGGCTTTGTATTGGTAATCGCATGGGGCCGAGTAAAATTAAGGATTAATATCACTTGTGTTTTCGGAAGTTGCTGAGAAATTGCCCTCGTCGCTGCGCGACTCGGGCAATTTCAACAACTTCTGAAAACACAAGTGATATTAATCCTTCATTTTACGAGGACCCATGCGATTACATGTTAATGAAATTGAGGGGAAAATTACTGGATTTCTAAATGCGCTTTTCAGTATGCAGTCATAGGAAGCCATTTAAAGTTGACAGAGAATCAATGGCCACAAACGCACGAATGAGCTGAATGAATTTTTATTTTTGCACAAAGATACCAGGACTTTGGATAGACTTTTGATTTTAGATATCTCTCCAGTGATGCCTGCATTACTTTCAGGCAGTCGGGCTCATATTCATCCCCGTTTGAATTTCGTAACTCGGCATAAAACTGCACCAGTGTTCGGTTGAGGACATCGCTCTCGCACTCTTCTAAATTTGCTTAGAAGTCTTTCATTCGCCCACTTTTTAAAAACGTTCTTCCAGTACTCCGTACTTTTCCTCGTGTTTTCGTTTTCACTCTTGTCTTTTAATTCTTCGATATATTCCTCGTCAACTGTATCGAAACGAGACGCCATGATTTCAGAAAATCTTCAGCAACAACTTTTTGATAGCATAAGCTGTTGCTAGGCAACCTGAGAAAAAATACCCTCTTCATTGACCAGCCAGCATTCAGTAATTTTGCCCTCTATTTTATTATTATTGTGATGCATGGTCTCCTCTAATATCAAATGAACTCTCCAAGTTGGGCTGATGTTTTTCTTTTTCTACGTTTATTATACTTTCATCAGTTTACTCTCGTTTCAGTTTCTGTGAGACTTTTATTTTAGATGTCTTTTTTTTTTAACACATTAGTGATAAATTTTGTTTTTTTACTCAGATTTTGCTTAGAACCGGAGAAACCTTTTTGTGTCAAGACTTCTCATAAAGAATCGGATTCACTGGTGTGGTGAACACTGAGTCATTCTGAGTCTATCAACAGGGAAAACATATTCGTCAGCTTTCAGACTATTATTTCAGAAGGAAAAGGAAGATACTCGACGTACCTATGCCTGGATTTCACCTGGCAAAGGTGGACAGAGAGAGTCTTGCCGAAAAATACATTTGCAATTCCTGCAGTTTGCTTTTAAGAGAAGCAATACAAACGTCATGTGGACATTTCTATTGCAAATCGTGCTTGGTAAATCTTATTCAGTAAGTCCACTACCATTGAATTTGTTACCATCAATATTATTATACTTCTATCACCATAAAAATTATAAATTATACGGCTTGGTGAACATCTACCACTAATCACCTTCACCTCAGTGAGAAGCTATTCGGTGTCGTACTTATTGTTATTACTATTGTAATCATCACCATTCTCATGATACCGTAATAGAGTCATGAGAATAAGGTAAAAGTTTATTTGCTAGAAGATAGAGCTATCCGTCTGATATGACATGTCAAGGGTAATGTGATCGATAGTCGTTACTGTTAATGTTATTAATATTATCATCCTTATCATTATTATTATTATTATTATTAATTTGTTCAAAAAATCGACACAGGTTTAGCATAGTCTGTACTCTTATCGACATCGATATTCGTCATCACAGTGGTCAAAGTCTGTGGACTCACGAGATGCAGCCGAGTGAGTCTGATTTTCACACGAGAACACGAAAAGCCTCGCTCTTCAAGATTGACTTCTTATCCTTACGGCATATTTCATCGGAAGGAGTGTAGTGAGTGTAGGCACGGTTCTTCTGCATTCGTGATGGCTGTCCCCAGAACATCCTGATCTCTAGACTCTTGGCCATCAAGAAAAATCACGAAGTTGAGAAACAAGAATCATCAAGTTTAAATCGTGTATATTCTAATTTGTTGTCATAATCTTTCTTCGACACTACTCGTTCTTATCTTTTCCGCGATAGCGTTTTGATACTGTTGTTACGCATCGTCCAATCACTAACCCATCCACCTCTCTCTCTTAAAAGGTCTGGTTTAGCTGTGTGTGTCTACGGTCCTCCTTAACCACGTCCTCTGTAATTGATTCCTCACAATCCTTACACTTCTTTCCCCCTTCCGACTGCCTTAATCACGCGATGTTGATTTACATAAACTCTGACCGCCTATTTGATGTCGGGCAGATATTGCTTAACGACTCAGCTGATGTTTAACATTGATTAAGTAAACTCAGTATAATCTCGCTCGACTCGGGATTTCCTTGTCCGTTTGACCTATCACTTGACTCCCCCAGTAGTCTTGGCAGCCCCCTATATTTCTTGATACCAAATATCATTTCGTTTGACCGATCCTCTGTAGCGAAGTTTAATGCCCAATGCTAACAAGAATGTAAAAAAAAAAAAAAAACAGTTTATCATGTTGTCACTGAAATATGTTTGATGCGGGATAACCAGAACCGATTGCTATTAAAGCAGGCTCTTGCAATCGCAGCATGAATTTAGGGAGACTAAACTGGGCATTCCAAATGCTATCTTTTCTTTTTTTCTATATTAAAAGGCAAACTGAAATTTTTAACCAATTTTTAAAATATTTTCAGAGATCCGGAATCAGTGGTGATGATCTGCTTAAGTGATCAGAAACATCTTCTACCTAATGAGGTTTGGGTTTTTGGTTTGTCACTTCATGAAACATAACTGTGAATTTCATACATTGAAACGATTTCAAACATTTAAGACTAAGGGGTATGAGTTTAAACTTTACAGCAGATTTCTCGCAATACCATCCTTAGAGTCTTTTGTCTCTCAAAACTAAACAACCAAGTCTCACTAGCTAAGGGAGTGGCGCGAGTTTTCTAGACTACTGCAATCACAGATTACTATTCTAAAAGAGCAATTGTCGAAAGTAATGCGAGATTTCATTGGTTTTGCTTTCCCCTCTGCTCTCCAAATGGTCCAGAAAACTCGCACCAGTCTTTAAATCAATCGGATGTAAAACTAAAACCAATCTCGAATTGGACACATACATTTTCTTGCACCTAAGCCAGTCTGGTTGTTTTCACTTGGAGTTTTTATTGGCTCTTAAAGGTATTTTTTCCTTTCTTCTGATTGACCGTTGTAATTACTTTTGTTTTGGTTTTACGAGACTAAATTGAAAAGCAATCCATTTGGAGCACTGAATTCCTAATTTCGGGGAAAATCTGATTAGCTACACTCAAATTGGGTCTACACTTCCATCCTATCGAGGCCTTGTTCTTGGAGAATCTCCAACCTCGTGGACCTTGATGCCTGCCAAAGATTGACTGCAAATGTAACTTAAAACACTTCTTTTGTTTAATCAGTTTTGCTCTCTAGCAATCCATTTGTATCTCAGAATTAAGAAATTTTATTTTGCCAGGTATTCCCAGACAGATTTATGCAAAGAGAAATACTTGCTCTTGCCGTTCACTGCACTTTCAAGGTTGACGGATGCGCATGGAAAGGGGAAGTCAGACATTTGGAGGTGCTGCCTCTTCTATCAAACCAGTGTTGAATCTTTTGAAATAAGAATAATTACGACCAGCTTCTCTTGTTTAATCTTCTGAAACAAAACCTTGACAATCAAATGCTAAATATGTCTCCTCCGTGCTTCTTGGAGCTCTAGTTTACTCAAGGATTCACTCTTTCCCGGGGAAATGAATAATAGGTCAAAAGAGCTTTTTTTTTTTTACACCGAAATATTTTTAAGTGACCACAGGCAAAATTTTATTCGATTTTTATTCTGTGTTACTATTACACTCACGAAGTTCAATGAAAGACAAGGCGCTTCTAATATGCAGGTATCAACAAGTAGCTCCTATAAATATTCCATGGAAAATCTGAGAATATAATTGGGTGACTTTTGTCATCTTACAGAACCACACTTCTACCTGCGAGTTCCTTAAACTTCCGTGCGTCCATCCTGAGTGCCGTGTCCTTTTGAAGAAAGCTGATCTTACTAAACACTTGGAAGAGGAATGCAATTACAGATTAGAGAAGTGTACATTCTGTCAAAAGCAGATAAGACTAAACGCAATGAAGGTGAACTTATTCTGCTCTTTATAGTCTAGTTGTGGTAGGAGCCTAGATACATGGCCAATACAGTAAGTTTTCGAGTGGAGGGGCTCAAAGGTGAGTCTCCTCTACGGTAACATTACTGATATTGATGATTGATATTGGTCAATTATGGTTACGATCGGAAGGTCGTTTAGCAACGTCAAAATCATAAAAGGTGTTTATGTTCTATATTCATTTCAGATAGCTGTTTGATTTGGCCAAGTTGTTTAATCGCCCCTGTTTCACTGCTGAGGGGGAAACCATAAATCAATTTTCGGGCAATTAAAAACAAACTTTCCCCAGATTTTCTTGTTTCTGGTTTTGCCTTTACAGGCTTACATACCAAAGTAGCATTTTCATCAGTTTCCCTCTCTGAGGTACACAATCCTTTCATTTTAACCACAAAGTCGTCAAAACATTAGAAAAAACCTCACCGTCCAGCCGCGATACTTTCAGTGATTTCACGCTATGCTGAACTGAGATGATAACAAAACAAATAAAAAGAGAAATGTTTCGCTTAGATTCAGTGATTATCAAAGCTTAGCTCAGTCGTGAAGTAACCAATTATAAAAGAGCTTGCGTTTTGTTCGCTGATAAAAAGGCTGTTATATGATATTACTCTGTCATCGCATACGATTAGAACCGTAAAAAAAAATCATGTTTATAACAAATGTCGAGAAATCATTGAATGAGGTTGAGCATGTTATTATAAAAAATCAAGACCGAGGTCTGACTTATCTGCTAAGGCCGAAGGCTGACTTACAGCCTCGAGATTTGATATCATGAATTCAATAACTGTTTTATTACAAATGTTTTTTTAACAATCTGCAAAAAAAGATTCTACCAAGCCAAACACGACAAAAGTGGGTGGAGTTTAAGTTACCTATCGAGTTTCATTGATCGATATGTGAGATAAAGAAATCACTACATGAGATATAGAAATCACCGTATAAGAATGAAAACTGTCTTGCGAGATTTTAAATTACCCGTCGAGAATGAAAAAAACAATCGAGAAAAAGACGGACGTAGCAAGATACCGAGAAACAAACCTTAACCGTTGAGAATAAGGAATGTTACGTGAGAAAAAATTCACTGTACAAGATTATCGATTAGTTTTCTCTGAGCCAGTGAGCAAAAGCTAGTCAGCGGAGAGTATATTTTTCCTAAAAATGGCGGAGCAACTCAGTGAGGAAGACTTTACAGAGTTTGTGGATTCTATAAGGAGCATCATTGAAAGAACTGCTTCCGTTTATCACGCATCCGATCATGTAGGGTTAGAAATCTGTGCTAGGAAGCTTGAAGAACTCAAGATTGCTTATCGCCATATCACTGTCCCAAAATTCCTCTCCAGACCTGTTTGACGATTTAGAATTGTCCTAAACCATGTTATTAAGAACTTGAGAAGTCAGATATACTGAATACACCAACCTTTAGTCCAAAGGAGAAAATTCCGTTGGAATTCTCTGCAAGTTCTGGTGGAAGACCGGCGTATATTATTTAAATGGAAATGATCGAGCAATTGCGCGAGACTGGTATGAACTGGAGGTGTAGCAACATGCTTTGGCATCTCCTACCAAACACTATACAGGCGAAGGATCGAGTTTGGAGTGGAAGACAGTTTTACAGATATCACGGATGAAGAATTAGACACGCAGATACGGCAGACCCTCAATTTAACGCCCTATTGTGGAAAAACCTATGTTAGAGGCAGCCTCAAAGGCAGGGGAATAAATGTTCAATGGTTCAGAGTCAGAGAAAGCTTGAAAAGGATAGATGCTATAGGCAGAACTATGAGACGTCGGTATGCAATCTGTCGATGAACCTGCAATGTCACTGGCCCAAGTCATCTGTGGCATATTGACTCAAAGCATAAGCTAAACTCATTGAGATTGTCATCCATGGATGCATCAGTCGATGGCTACAGCAGAGCCATTGCCGTATATCTCAAATGTTGCACAGACAACAAAGCAATTACTGTGTTTCAATATTTTGAGCAAGTGGTACAAGAGTTTGGTCTCTCCTGCGGGGATCAAGGTGACCAGGGTATGGAAAATGTAGATGTAGCAACGTACATGATGGCTAACCAGGGATCCGACAGAGGTAGTTTCATTGCTGGTAGAAGTGCGCACAATCAGCATATTGAAAGGCTATGGGCAAAAGTTAATCGAGTCAGCTCAGCACTTTACAAAGATTTGTTTGATTTTCTTGAGAGGAGTGGAACTTTGGACTGCTGGATGAGTTACACCTGCTGGCTTTGCAATATGTTTATATTCCTTGGATAAATGCCTCTCTGTGAGTTTACAAGCCATTGCCATTCATTAAAACTAAGACATTGTGAAGATCAACCATTTAATTTGATTAAAGTTATGCTTTTGTGTTCAAAGCTTGTACAATGAAATGGTCATCATCTTTTTTCAGTAGTTACAAAATTGCACTGAAAACCAAGAGGAGGAAAATATAAAAGCTTCATGATGTGTCTCGATGCTGAAATGAAAGTGACAACATTTTTAATGGCTGTTATAAGTACAGCTGACCCCTTAACAATAACTTCAAGTATGACTCTTGAATTTTGATAGTTTTAATCTTAATGGAGTGCTGTAATTTGCGCTGATTTATCATCAAACCATTTTCACATTTGCAAATGTATTTACTTAGTCGTGTAAGTAGTGCACTAAAACCAATGTAGTTTTAAGTGCAATTTGAAACTCAGGCATTGATTTTTTAACAGCCATGTACTGGTAGTAAAAGCAACATCTCACTTTTAACCCTAAGTTGCCTCATTCAATTCCAAAATCATGCTATGTAATGACAGGACTGCATGCAATGAATAAAGTCAATGCATGATTTATTGATATATTAGTAAATAAGAGATCAGCTGATAAAATTGGCAGATATAATTAGCAGTGATGTCACAATCTGATTGGCCAATTCCTTATTGTTAATAAGAATACAGACAATGTTCAGGTTAAGTTGTTATGAAATAGTAATACACTGAAAGAATTGTTTCCTTTTACAGCAATATTGTGGTAAAAAACAAATTGTAATTGGATTAGCGTGGTCTGCTGAATAACAGGGCCGCACCTAGTGAGTCCACAACAGTTTGACCACTTTGATGACGAATATTGTTGCTGATAAGAGTAGAGCCTGCGCTTAACCGGGTTAATTTGTTAAATTTAGAGTTTGTAGTTTTGAAGCTGGCAAATTTTACATCCTTCTCAAAAGGTTTTCTAACTTGTAACCAAACAAACTGCCAATGACAACTGTAATGACAATTAAATAGACATAACTTTGTGACTTGATCCTTTATTTTGGAAAATTCAGAAAGTGCCGTCAACAGTAACTTGTATTCTGTGTTTCAATAATTCCTCTACCAGTAAAATGAAGATGCTGTCCATAATATGAAAACTGTAACTCTGAGAAGCAAATCTTAAAGTGTTCCAGGTGTTAATTCAACATGCTCAAAGAATTTATTTCAAAGTGTTCATTTCAAATTGTTGACATCTTTCATACTTAATAAAGTTAAAATACCAGGCTAGCTCCTCTTTCATTACATTAGTAAACTCCTTAACCACTACTGGGTATGAGTCATATGTAGATGGAAGCTCCAGCAATGGTCCACATGTTCCGGCAATAGGAAGTCGCTGCATCCCTTCAAGGGTATTAAAGTGCATATCAATGTTGTACCGTGATCACATCACTACCAGTGCAGAACCTTAAGAACATAGATGACGATTTGCCATTCAGCAACTTTACAAGCCGTTTCAGGTGTTCTACGGATGTAAGTTTTTCTTCATGTGCTGGTTCAGCTCTGAATAATTTGTTAATTTTCTTGGCTGTTGGCTGCTCGCTTTGGTAAAACATGTTCAGTTTCTCGAGGGACTGAAATTTTTCCTTAGAGCATAATACCTTAAGAATTGGACTCCAGCAGTTGATCACATATCTCGGCTTCTGCACAAGTTCCTCATGGGAAAGCTCAATGATTATGGCTTCAATGTTATTCTTACTTGGTGCTTTAAAACACTTGAATGATGAAAGTCCAAGACATCTTCATCGTTTGGCTCAAAATCATCAACAAGGCACTTGTCCAGTGCCTCTTTATCTTCTGTAGCTACGAATTTTCTAAAGCCTTTTACGAATTGTCTAAAGCTTTCTATCAACCGCCTCCTGGTTAGCTCAATTCGTAGAGCGCTGGACTGTTGTGCGGGAGGTCGAGGGTTCAAGTCCCGGCCGGACCAACACTCAGGGTCTTAAAATAACTGAGGAGAATATGCTACCTTTCTATAATATCAAGAGATGGATAGATATTCTAGTCTTCTCAGATAAGGACGAATAAACCGTAGGCCCCATTTCCTGCAGGGTTAAGGGTAGGAGACGTTAATTTCCCACGCAAGAGATTACTGTGTGGTGGATATCCTCCCCTAGGATGAGATGGGTGGGTACATCTGCCGAGAGGGGCTGTATTACCCTTTGGAGATTAAAACATAGATAGATCAAAGCCTCCGAAGTTATGAAATCATCCCTGTGAGGACACAGGGCCACGAAAAGATGTGACAAATTTAATGGGAAGTAATTCGTCCATTGGTGGCCATATGGCAGCGCGCGAGCAATGGCCTCCCACTGTGGCTTTTGCATGTCATGCCTAATAAATTGGACTTTTTCATTGTTTCCATTCATCAGTGATGTGAAGCTCTCTTGCCAAAAGCATGATAAAAGATCTAATAGAACCCCCTTGCTTTCTCCCTCCTCTTCTTGACCAGACCAGAAGTGTGAATTACAGTTATATGGAGATGGTAGTTTAAAATACTTTCGTCTTTAAAGATCTGGATCACTTCTTCCTGAATAGCAACTCGGTGTATGTTTTCTTTCTCTTCGCATAATAGGTCATCATCAAATGACTCAGTGATCTCCAAAACCTCTGATATTATTGGAACTGGCAAGAGTTGGTCGTTGGGACTACAGACTGGCCTGTCATTCTCTTGATCTAGAGGCAGTTCATTATTGGGATTTGTGGTTACACTTGAGTTTACTCTAGAAGCTTGTGTAGCACTAAGACTTCTCTCGATGTGAAGGGGTTCATTCCGTTTAGGATTTAAGGTTGCAGGAGAGGTTGGAGCAAAAGCTTGTGCACCAGCTAAGTCCACTTGGGGGCGTGCAGTATATTCTGTCTGGGGTTTGGTACGCTTGAAGTTGAAGCATGAGCTTGCGTGAAAGTTGGACCTGTTTCAATGGCATGCGTTGAGAACATGGCCGTGCTCATTCAATGCCACCCTCCTTCCCTGTCGAGGTAGAACATCGACTGGTGGGCCAGCAAGTAATATCAAATCGCAGAAGAATGGAGCATTTTCTTTTGCATTCCACCTTGACCTATTCGTCCTGTTAGAAGTACCACTTCGTCTCATGTTTGCCATTCGTCTAAAATGCGAGGAACTTGCAGGACTTGTATTGTGATTGAGGCTCGAGCGTGATTCACGATGGCTAGCTTGTGAGCGTCCAAAAACACGAGATACTTCAGCATTAACGTTTGATTGACTTAGCTGAGACATTTGTTCTTATAATACTCGAACTTCCTGAAGAAGTTGACGCAGATGTTCCGATTTCTGAGCCATTTTATCCGACTCCGGATAAAAGGGGGCATCTTCAAATAAGTTTCCTTCGATTGTTTGTAAACTACTGATGCAGTCCGGCTAAAGTCCCCCGAAAAGTGTTGTGATGCGCATATGATCATATCCACATGTTAATTTGCGCAATATAAATATTAGATTATTATTATTAATTATTACCAAATGATTAGGCTGTTTTCACAGCATCAAACCATGTAAAACCACTTGACCACATAGCCACTCTCTTATTACGACCGCCTGTTTTGACAATCGCTTGTTTTAGTGTTCAGAAGTGGAAGTCCAGCAGCTTTTCAACCTTAGAAGTCCGAGCAAATCCTCTAGGCCAGACATTGACCTTAATCAAGACATACCACTGTGCGATATTCATTTCATAGCCGCACTGACAATGCAGACAAAAATGCCTCAAAGACAAAGCATGTTTACTTTCGCCTGCTTTTAGCTTTAGTCTATCGCCTTAGAACTACAATTGGGGAGATGTAAGGGAGACATGAAAGAGCTCTTAATTCTTAAAAAGAGGTTTACACCCTAGAGATTATTTATTTTTCAGGAGCACCACGAGAGGCAATGTCCAGGATACCCGGTTCGTTGTGACAAATGTAACAGGGAGAATATTCCACGAAGAAAGGTAAAGTTCATAAATTTTGAAATGTATTCATCATTTTGTTAAGGAGACGTCGGTACTTTAAGCGATTGATTTTGAAAAATATCAAAATCCTATTTTGTGCAGATTTTTCAGTCAGCTTTACTGAGAAACAGTTTTCAAGCCTCTCTTGATATAGATGCGCGGTGGGCACATGTGCAGACGTCACATTTTGTTTGGTTAGGTAAATTTTCGTAAAGGATCCAGCAGAATTCGTTAAAGTGCTACTGAGACCAGATTAAGCGTTTGCCATATTTTGCCACCACCACCAAATTTGGAATGAAATTCGAAGTAGAAGTCTGTTTCTCTTTAGACTTGTTTACCTCGATCCAACGTCCGCCATTACTCAAACCACGAAATAACCGCGCGGAAGTCCGTGACGTCATACTATTTCCAAAATTGGCCGAGCTTTGAACCACGCGTTCTTAGTCACGAAATAGAAGGAGATTGCTGCACTTGAGAAGATTTAGGAGAGTTTAAACATCGTTTTAAGGCCGGAAATGCCACTCCAGAGTTGTGTTGTGCAGGACTGAGCAATTATTCTTTAATCCGAAAGCTAAAATATCGCTACACAGGCCAAATGAAATGGCTACGAAAGCTAATGGATAGCATTCGTACGCCCACATCGCGCAAACCTCCACCCGAAAAGTCTCTTTTTCATATAATCTGATTATTTAACCGCCGACTTTTTTGAAAAGAATATCCACGTATACTGGGCACGAAGAAGGATTGCCTCGGGTGCCATTCCTACACTATGGAAAACACTTTTCAGCTGGCCATGTCTCCGAGAAATCGCCGAGGGGCAAGTGCTGTTTAGATCGTGATTCTTTTGTTCGCTATCACCCGACGTTTTCTAGACCTCTAAAAAATACAACGATTGAACTTTTCGTGAGTTACGTTTATTTCATTTTCTTTGTTATCTATTCATTCATCCTCTTGGACTTGTAAGAATCTGCCATATAAGATTTTAACACAGACAATCTGTTCTGCTGGAATGAAGTCTTAGCTTTCCTTTGAAAATTGCATCAATGTAGCAATTAACTTCAATCAATGAATATCTATGGCTCTATATTGCTCTATGTTTATGAAAAATTGTCTACATCCCCAACTTAGCCACGTCTGGAAAAAGCCATGGAAAAGGCCTTTGAAGTTGAGCAGACAAGCTTTCCAAAGTGCTACCAAACTGTGGTAAATTAATTTGCCCAAAAGATGTAAACCAAAGCATACCTATACTCAACAGGTTGATGAAATTTCATATTAAGCTCGGTGCAGGTAGTTAATTTCACTGTATAAGAACAGCAAAGCACATGGAATACTTTTACCAACTTACTACTTATTACTAAATGAAAAATTATCAGTAGTAATTATATTTTTGAGTGCAGGTCAAATTAGCTCCGTGATATGCATGGCATGGTTACACTTGTCTTACAATTTCAAAGAGGAAAAGTTGGAACATGTACATCTATGTACTTATATTTACTGTACTTATATTTACTGTATACTACTGTTCTGTTTTCTAATTCTTGGTTCTAAAAGCCCTTCATTTCAACCATAACCTTCGAAGAGAAACAAAAGGATAATAATCAAGGCCAGCCAGATCTGTGGGTAACTTACCCAGAGTTCAAGAATGTTGATGAAATGCCATGAAAGGCCAGGGTAGCATTGAACTATGGTGAAGTTTTGCTTATTGCATAGTTCATACAAATGCCTACAAACTTATGTAAAGGCTACCCCGAAAAAACTAATGTGCAACATGTGTGCTCAGACTCTATTTTTATTTTCTTAATCCATTATCTTTATGCACTCTGTAATCGATAACCATATGAAGAGAGGATATTAAAAATGTTAAGCCTGGTGCTTAACACTTGATGCTTGACAAGGGCTTACAAGAGCAAGCCATACAAAGAGTTGTGACCAGAGCCAAAAGAAAACTGTGATTTGTTTATAATGGAGATCTTGACAGCAATCCTGCTAAAGTTTTCCTTATTACATCCATCCATTACTGGTAACACCAAAACTCAATAAATAAGCGAGTGTTCAAGTGAATAAATCCATTAGTCAGTTGTAATATTTGAATTGTCCCGCTTCAGCAGATGTTCAGAAACACGATTACCTTATAATAAAATTAATTTATCCTTGGTTCAGATTTATCTCCTCTGATCTAATTTTTGGGAAGCACGTTCAAGTACATTTTATCAGTTACGGATTCAAAGCAAAGAAAGATTTACATCATGAATACAACTAATTTAATATATTGATATAAGGATATTTATTCTGGCAATAATCAGTAACTTGTATGACAGTGGTTGATATTTTTACTTTAGAAGACTCTTACCAAAATCCTTTTTTAGAACCTGAGTTAAAACTTTGACAGTATAAGTCAGACCAGGGGTAGAGCAAGTGAAAAACTACAGATCTGTAGTAACTATGGCCATGCAACCATGCAAACTACATAAGCACACTGCTTAATTTCTTATTACTGTAAAACTCAGAAAACTCAAAACAGTTTGAATTGATTCTCACAGGACAGTTGTGTAGTGTCCAACACAAAATTCAGGAGTGAGCAAACTCCTGTTAAGTCATCCTGCCTGAGGCTTTTTCCTCGAAATGTAAGGACATTACATAAGTACATGTATTTCTGAAGTTAAAGGTTACTAGCTATTAAGGTAACAGTGTAGAAAAAGTACTTTTCAGGTGCTTAGCAAGTCATTTTTGGCTTGTAAGCCTGTTCCATACCTCGTTAGTATAGTGCGGGATTATATTCCAAGAAAAAATAAATATTCCGAGAAAATTTTGTAAGCACGGGCTTACTGACTTAAAGAGAGCTACGCGCCTGCTTTTGTTCCCTGAGAGTCAAAGGAGTACTACTTTGTGAAGTTTCTTAGCATTCTCATTTTTTTTGGGAAGACGAAAAGCTGCACAAACATGAGTTCAAAGTAATATGTAACAACTAAAACGCAATTCATAGAAATATACAGGCTATTGATCTTCTTCTAAGCCATGGTAAACCACAGTTTCGCTTGGGGAAGCGTTGCATAACGGCCTAAAGTTATACTGTGTTAAGAGAAAAGATTCCAGCAAAATAAGAAAGAGGGTAAACAGCGTGGAAGAGTACTGCTCGAAGAGATCTTTAAACACAGTAAAGATAGATACTGAAGAGATATTTTATCCTTCTACAAAAGCTTAACTAAGAACATCTCTGCTAAACTTTGTATTACGAACTTCTGTTTCACCAGTTAGCCGTTTTTGAAGCTCTAGCTCCCTCACTTCTTCACTAGCCGCGTTTAAACGTTTTCCTAGTAAGTGACGTGAGGCGTGAATAGTCCAGTATTCAGAAGCGCTGAACTCTGGGTCGGACGGCCCGGGTTCAAGTCCTGGCTGGGGCACTACGTTGTGGCCTTAAGAAAGTCGCTTCACTCACATTGCTTCGTCTTATCGGATAAGACGTAAAGGCGTAGGTCCCATCTCCTGCAGGGTTTGGGGTAGGAGACGATAATTTCCCACGCACGAGATTTCTGTGTGGTGGATGTCCTCCCCTGGGTGGGATGGGTGGGAAGGTGAGATCGCTACATGGACTGAAGCAGCTGCCAAAAGCGCCTGATAAAATGATGATGTCCGAACTCAACCTTACTACATTGAGGCTGAAAAGCCCCTTTAGGGGAGCTTCAATTAACGTTGCACTTGCACTCTTCCTCGGTCACACGTGGTTTTACTTTTTCGTCCTACGGGGCGCGAAATATCCATTATATTTCCTAAGCACATCAGTCATCCATGGACCCCTCATCGAAAGAAACAGAACTATTACCGTCGGTTAAAATGAAGAACGGCGACATTTTTCGAGCAAGAGTGATGAATTCCCATCTTTACTTCGAGCTTCGACAAAAGGGGCAATATAATGTCACAACTGGGAAAGAGGCTGAAAAATATCTTTGGCTTAGTAGTTATCGTTTGAGCAATGGCGGATGAATTTAGCGAGTTTCTATCAAAATTTTTTCTTCTCGTTTCAGCTCTAAAATCTAATTTTGGCATAAAAAATTTGGTTTGAAGAACATCAATTTTCGTTTCAGTAGCACTTTTAGGCAAGTGGGAAGCAGGCCTCTAAACCCTGCGCGGAACTTGCAGTTCGTGCTGAGGCAATTAAACATTCGTGGAATCATACTTACTTCAAGTGCTACCCAAACCTTTGTTTTTTGATATTTGGCAACGTGGATTATTGTTGGAGGACTGATTGGGATATCATTAAGTGCTTCCAACTAGGTCGGAGAATGTTTTTCTCTTCAGGGATATAGGATTCGATTGTGTAACAGAAGGTTTGAGCCACCTAAAAAGTCAGATAATTTAAAGTTTTGTAACAATTTCGAAAAATCACATATACAAATTTAGCAAAAAGGAAGGATAAGCTTTCAAGATAACACTCCTTTTTAAGGCCACGTATCTTTCCTTTTGAAGCTGCAAGATCATCAGAACCCAGTTTTTGGAGACTGTGAGAGCGTGGAGGGTCCATGTCCATTTTCACAACTTGGATGTCCAATGAAAGAGGTAAGAAATATACAAAGTTTTTTTTACTTTTAGGCGCATGAGGATGAGGTGATAATTACAATATTAATGAGAAAACGATTTCCATGGTATTTTAAACTACTGTTCCCAAAACGTTCAATTCAGTCGACGCACTCCTTAAAGGGGGAGTTGCAATACTAGAAAGAAAAGAGCGCTTAGCCTTGGTTCAAAATGGGAATAACACGTTAGGGATTTTCCACGTTGATTTAAAGATGATTTGTTGTTGTAATACTAAGAATTTTAACACAGATATGAGCTCTAAAAACAGCACAAAAAAGTATACGTAAAACACTTTCCGAGTTTTGAATTTCCGAAATCTCGTCAAACGTGCTAAATGTTAATCTTCGGATGCCGCCATTAACGTGGCCACTTACCAGTGACTTCACAGATCGCAGCTAACGACATGGTTGTGTTCAAACTGAATCATTTGGCCCATGCAAGATGAAAACAGGTAGGCCGTTAACCACAAGAAACATTCTCTAGTGGACAGCACACCTTTGGTCGCCGCCATCAGAGTTGAATTCTGAGAGCTAATGTTTGCGCGGCCAGGTTGCTAAGTTGTTTTATTTTTCCCAGACGCGGCATCCGATAATTTGTCACATCAGGAGATGACAGTCGAAACAATAAGTTACTCCTTAGAATTTAAAACACTGTAATTTTTACGTTATGAAGTCTTGTTTTGAATGGCGGAAATAAAAATTTTATCATCCCTTGAGCATACATCTCCTTTCATAAACAGGTCCTCAGCCAACGAGAAAAAAAGAAACATATGGAGCAGGCAAATGTGTTTCACACTAGTCTGCTTTTTCAAGAGATTTTGCGGATGAGCAAAGAAGTGGAAGGACTATTACAACGTAACCCTAACCTCCTGTCCAGGCAACCCCAGTTACTTTCAAACTTTGACGGTGTGATCCAAGACATTCTCACCCAGATGCAAATGAGAGGAGACGAGATCAGAGTACAGCAGGCCAAAATAAGAGAGCATAGTGAACGAATAACATCTTTAGAAAGAAGAATGGCTTCAGTCAATGCCTCTGAGACGGGTCCATCTGCCCAACGTTTGAATGAATCTGCAGATTTACCAATCAACGAAAACTCAAGGAGACTAACCAATGTTGAAAATAAGACCGCTGACCACGAAGTTCTTTTGGTTGAAAATAATCGCACAATGGAGGAGGTTAAACGTGACGTAGGCACCATGAAAAGGCAACTTGATACCACTCAGGAGAGCTCCAGAAGGCATGACCGAAGGATTGAATCTATTGAGCACACACTGGCACTTAGAAATGTTACTCTGGCTGATCTGGAAGAATACGTAAGACAACAAGAATTCTCAAGCTACGACGGCCAGCTGTTGTGGAAGATTTCTGATTACGCTCGCAAACGAAATGATGCAGTGACTGGACAGCAGGTTTCCTTCTATAGCCCATGTTTCTTTACCAGCCGTTATGGGTACAAAATGTGTGCCCGCATATATTTGAACGGTGATGGAATGGGAAGAGGAACCCACATCTCCATCTTCTTTGTGGTCATGCGCAGCCAGTATGACGCGCTTCTCCGTTGGCCATTCAGACAGAAGGTGACCTTCATGTTGTTGGATCAGGATAACGTAGAACACGTGATTGACGCCTTCAGACCTGATCCGAACAGTTCTTCCTTCCAAAGGCCAAGAAGAGAAACTAACATAGCCAGTGGATGTCCAATGTTCTGTTCGCTTGCTGAACTTAGTAATCATGCATACGTCAGGGACGACGCCATGTTTCTGAAAATAATTGTGGATACGTCTGATCTGTGATCAAATTTTCAACATTAGACACCATCCCGACAACATCAACAGAGACAATGGTATAGATAATCCAAAGCTATTCACGATAAAAGCATGTTATAAAGATATTACAAGATAGTATTTCCTATCTCTTGAACAGTGAAGGAAACAGGTAATACAAAGCTATGCTTATGGTGCAAGTCACCCTCTGATGTAGACCACAACAAGCAGTCGACAAGTCATTTTCTCAGTATCAAGTCAATGTCCTGTAAAACAGAGACTAATCGTGATGTTCTCAGGGCTTAAATAATCGTGCTGATTGTTATCACTATCATATTTGGTGATAAGAGCTTTCCACAAAAAGTCACAATGAAAAGCATTTACCTATGCCACAACCAGCCAGGACTAATTGGAGCATGACTTGACATAAATGTCAAGTCAATTTCATCAAATATCATATTTGATTGTTTTATATTTGATACAATGTAAGATTCACAAAGACATTTAGCGAATTTTCGTTAGAGGTAAAATCTGCTTTGTCTATATTCTATGGTATGTTTATCCTGTAATTAGCTGTATATACCTGAAAAAATCAGGCGCTTCTGATTGGCTGAAAACAAGTGCAGTTTTCATGTAACACGGGTGAAAAGTTGTAATACGAGTGCGCCCTGTCAAAACTTCGTCTGGCTTGACTTTCTGTGATACTTTTTTTTTCATGTAGAGTATTTTAAAACGAGTAAGAACGTGATTACTGGTGCAGTTTGGTGTAAATAAGCAATTTTCTCATATAACCCGTCCGGTCCCGCTCGCGCAATACGTATGGGAGCTCAGCATATTGTGCTCATGGAAATTACGTTTTAATTGATCTGTGCTAATCATAATGGTAGGCGATGGATCATAATTGTAAATACTAATATGGGAACTTTTACAGATATCTTAGAGCCTAGGTGTGTATATTTTCAAATTTGTATGAGTGAGCGAAAAGCAATTTCAGCCACTGTTAATCTTATAAACTTGAATGGTAAGATTTGAGTACATTATAGAAATGAATTACTACCCGTTTAATGTAAGAATCCAGATTTTTTTTAACAAATACTAGAATTAGCATGGCAATATTAAAACATGGCAATGTTACCAAACTAAGTAAGAAAAAATTGTCTCATAGATTTTTAACTGTAAAAGAACCAGGATAGCGCTCGCACATGGCGTCACCAATTGAACTTGTTGTCCTCGAATGAAGTTGTCTTTCTGTTATAAGGGACTTTAAACAAATCACGACGGCGACGGCAACGGCAACGAGAACGTGAAAAAATAATAGATCTAATTGGCAGAACAATGCCCAGCACGTGCGTTTTAAAATTGTACATCTCTTGGCCGTCCTTTACAAAACAACGTGGAATCACCAAAATTTGCGTCGTCTGCGAAGCGAAACCGCGGCGGTAAATTATTTTAATTTACATTTGGAACTCAACGCTGCTTTTATGCGTTATGTTGAGTTTGAGGTCTGGCGCCCTATGAAACGTTAGATACATGCAGCCATTTGCGAAATTCTAACTTAAAGTAGAAACTCATTTTTTAATCGACGTCTTCCATGGCGTTGCCGTCCTGACTGCTTAAAGTCCCTTATAGTCTTATTTGTAAAACGCATCAAAATAATTGTGCATCAAACAATATTGTGTTTGATACAATACAATTTTTGAAAGATGTTATTCAGTGAATGACACAGGCATACTCTAAGTAAAAAGAACTCCGAGCACTCTCAAGGAGTGGATGCCACGACTTTCCAATAAATACGTTTTAGTTGGAGTGGCACCTCATGCTGTTGTCACTTTTATTAGTCCACTGTTCCCTGGCTCTATTTCAGACAAAGACACTGTAAAGTCAGGTTTGTTGAAACAGTTGAAAACTGGTGACTTGGTTCTAGCTGACAAGGAATTCCTCATAGAAGATATTGTCCCACATGGTGTCTTTGTAAATATCCCTCTAAGGGGTATTTACAAATAAGGGATATTCACTCCTTTATCGTATTTATCTCTTTATCTAAGGGATATTTACCCCTAAGGTATAGCAAGTTATAACTGCCATCTTTGTTGATTTTCAAACAGAAGGACTCATTCTTTACTGCATTAACAATCAGTTCATTTCGTTCTGTATGTGGGCACTTAATTTCAAGGACATGATTCTGACCCACAAGTCCATCAGGTGATGCCCCTAGTATACCTCTCTCATGTAACCACAGACCAGTTTCTTGTACGGGTCTTGCAGTTGAATTAATAAAGAACTTTAAATCCTCTTTTCCATTAAATGGAAAAGAGGTTCAGTCTCGAAAGGTCATCTCCAAAGAGATGCTTCATTAAATTAAAGATGGTGTTACTCTTTTGCACTTGAGGAAACTCCCAAAGTTGCTTGCCTTTAGACCACCTTTCCTTGCTTGGTGCCACATAGAGTTATCTCTTTGGCCTTTGGTCAGTTCAGACATTGCATGAACTACATTTGTGGTCACTTTGGCCTTCTCTTGCATGTAGGCAATCCGATTTTGTAAACCCTGAATTTCTAAAAAGTTCTCATAATATATATAAGCTCTTCTATTGTGGGGGTAGGCATTGGATTAACCTTAGGTGGCTCTGGGGTCCTAATCAGCCATAAACCAGTAAATTTTCCTTATCTTTGCAGCCTTGAAAATAAAAAAATTCTGTCCTCTTTGTTAGGATCTCGGGATAACGCTTTGTATTGCTTTTTCAGTGGGAACATTTCAGCTGCTGATTGTTGATTGTGTTGGGTTCAGTTTTTTTTTTCAGCTTCCACGAACACTCGATGTCTGTTCGGCTGAGATTATGGATGCCATGGATGAAGAGGGCGGCCGAATGCTCCACGTGGACATTCACAGCTAGTTTACTTTATGTAAAGCCTGGTTCACATATGATCGCAGACGATCGCAGGCGATCACACTCGATCGCTAGCGATCGTGTGCTATTATATGTGAACAGCTCTGCGATCGAGTGCGATCGCGATCGCAGGAATAGAACCATGTTCTATTCGTGCGATCGGTTGTGATCATCTGCGATCGAGTGCGATCATATGTGAACAAAGGTCTGCGATAGTGCGATTGGAATGTGTCCAATAATGCTATGCAAGCGGCATGATACCCTGACAACCAGCTGTTTATCAACTTTTACACGTGTGTGTGTTTTGACAAGATGGAAGGTGAAATTGACACGGAACAGTTTATGAAAAAAATTAGAAAATACGATTGTTTGTTCAATCGCTTTAGCAAAGAATTCTCT